AGTGGTGGGGGGAGAAGAAGGACAGAGGGTTCGACTGGCAGGAGAGGAGGGAGGAGGCTATGATCTTGGTGTAAAGTAAATTAATTAATTAATTAATTTCAAAAATTTAAAATTAAATAAAATCAAAGTCAGATGCTGGTGGCGCATGCCCTTAATTCCAGCACTCAGGAGGAAGAAGCAGTCAGATCCCTGAGTTTGAGGCCAGCCTTGTCTACAGAGTGAGTTCCAAGATAGCCAGGGCTACACAAAGAAACTCTATCTCAAAAAAACAAAAACAATCAAAGAATACAACAGGACTTATTTTTTGTTCCTTGCTTGTTTGTTTTGTTTTGAGACAGGGTTTGCTCTGGCTCTCCCGGAACTAATTCTGTTGACCAGGCTGGCCTCGAACTCAGAGAAATGCCTGCTCTGCCTCCAGAGTCCTGAGATTAAAGGCATGTGTCACCCACCACCCAGCACTTTTTGTTCTTACTATAACAATGAAGTCCCATTTAATTGGATAGCTAGAGTCTCTCCGTCTGTAGGTAAATTCACAAGGCTTAGTGATTTGTTTGTATTTCTCAACACTCAGAACCCAAGTCGTCTTGGGAGATGTTCTTACTCTGGAGCGCGACCACTCCAAAGCGAAGCCCTACACGAGTTTCTTTTCTGTCTCTGATAACTCATAACAGGTTTGTGAGTGTGTTTTACCCGCATGGCTTCCCCTCGGATCCCAGCGTGCACGGAGAGCGAGCACTGGCGCGTGGTTCTGATGCTCTCCATGACGACGCACAGCACGGCCTTCCTGCTGCTCCTTGATTGGCGGATCAAACTGTGGTCAAAGTTGATTTTTCTAGAATAAGAAAGAGACGTGCACAAGATGCCTCAGTACACAATCACATAGAATCGAAGGCACCTTTCGTGCTGTTCAGGGCCCAACTTAACTGTGTGTGAGTCGAGGGAGACTCAATGCAAACCAGAAAATATGAACAGTCGCTTGGCTAGTTTGCCTCTCTCCTCGGTGGTTTTTCAGGTTTTGTACAGCGGAGGCACGGCTTGTGTAGCTTTGCAGGACTGCGGACGGAAGCCAGGGCCTATCCATGCCAGGCAAGTGCTCTTCACTGAGCCACCTTCCAGCTGCCCACCCCTCTTCACTTTTACTCAGATTGAGACAGACTCTCAATAATTTGCCCGACATGGACTTGGGCTCACTATGTAGCTCAAACAAGCTTTGAACTTGTGATCCTCCTGGTTCTCTCAAAGTATCTGCGATGACAGGCCTGTACGACCACACCCGAATCCTCTCACATTAAGAAAAAGTTCTGTAGAATGTTCTATTCTGTCTGCTGAGAGTCTGTTGGAAGCACAGCCTGTATTTCAACTTAATAATTCAGCAAATGTGTGCAAAACCAAAGTGGGGTTATTTTTGGTGGGGAAACAACTCCCCCACCAAAGTGATTATGATTTTTGATTTTGTAATGGTACTAACTAGCCGCTAACATGCAGTCTTCCAAGTGAATAAAAAAAAAAAAAAAAAAAAAACAAATTAAGCTGTAAAACATAACCCTGATGTTTTAAGCGTTCATCACAACCGTTTGATACGGTTGAAGCATTTGATGAGAAGAGCAGGTCTTCGTACTGACCGTGCGGTAATTTCCTTGAGTAATGTCGATACCTCTACCTCATGTTTGGTTACCACACCGAATGAGGCTTTGACTGCGATGGAATCAGATCCAGCAACGTTGATCCCAACGTCATTCACAATATGGTTGTTTCGCCTTCCGTAGAGGGAAACATCCGACTCATCTTCATAATTCAGTAGCTGATAAGATGAAATACCTTCGGAGAAGAAACTTGATATTTTTTAAATGTCTCAAATTCATCTTACATGGACTTTATATATTATCACGGTAACTTGATTGAAATATTCTTTTGCCCAAATATTAATTAGACAGCATTTAGAAGCACATGATAAGTAGCTCTTCAAGCAATTTTACTACAAAAAAAAAATTACTTAAAATGAAGTCAAATTCTCTGTTCAGATAACAGAATACATATACCTCAGTATATGTTATACCTCAGTTTAACTATCCATGGGGTAGTTGAAGGAAAAACAAGTGTCCATAACTAATGACCAGCCATCGTACCTGTTTTATAATCTAGTTTTAAAAATACATTTTTAGGGTTGGGAAATGGCCCAGTCGACAAATGCGTGCCCGTAAGCATAAGGAACCGAATTCATCCCCCAGTACCCATAAAAAAAAAAAAAAGTTGAGTTTACCTAGTGTAATAAACTGTAAAATAATTCAAATTACTTTCATTTATTTGATCATGTGAAATGGGTGAGACCCAATAATATCCTATATTATCCAGGACAAAATACATCATTTTCTAATTCCATCTAGTTAAAAACAACTTATAATTGATTTTAAAATTAATCAGTCAGAGATATGAAGCTGTAAAGACTTAAGCATTGTTCACCCTATGAATCACTACCACATAAAAGTTGATTTTATTCATAAACTGTATTATTAATATAATAAATCTACACAACCCCTGTTAGGTTATTAATGATGTGGCCCCACTGAGAGTCACTCTCAAACATTTAAACTTACCAGCTGAAATTTCTCGGTCTCCCAGGAGAATGTCTTTAAGTGTGAAAGGTGTTGAGGTAAATTTGTACCTAGGAAACAGGAAACACCGCTTCTTTTTGACCACCAGACTCAGGGGTTGGTATTTGTCGGCTTCACTGAGGCTTGGAACGGGCACTAATCTCCCTCCATCTCCGACTTGCTTGACGAAGCTCTTGGTAGCAGCAGCAAACATATTAATGTCAAGACGTCATCAGCTTCGACCCTCAGGCAACAAACCCATTTTTGCAGAAGAAGATCAGACACCAGACTCAGCCTCGTTTGATGGTAAGTACAATTACGTAGCTTAGAACTATAAAGCCCGTGCTCGGCGGATAGTTTACCGGTGTGCAGCTCACGACGTGCCTCCCTTCGTGAACTCAGGTGATGAATAATGGATGGCGGTGTAAAGGATACCCTAAAAGCAAGTCTAACTTGGAATGACAGCCTGCGGAGCTAAAACATACACAGAAACTGCTTCAAACACTACTAACGTCCTCGGGGCAACCACAGAGGAGAGTGCTTTGCCACAAGCAATGAGCCAGTTTGGACGGAGGCTTAAAGTCCTCCGGGAAATGGTGTCATTGGGCCCTGACTTTAGGCCTGGCCACCATCTGCGATGGACATGGTCCGAGAGGAATTCCTTCGTAAGTCCAGCAGCTGAATTTGGGCAAAAGGAAGGCCCTTTTTGGACCTTCACAGTGCACAGGTCACTCATTACGTGAGCACTGCTCTCGTCTGGGATTTTGCATGCTTATGAAACCATGTGTTTAATACCAAATGTCGACTCACAGAGGAGCACCTGGCTGCAGATCTCTGCGGGATGCTAAGGGCTTTTAGCTAGTGCTACATCACATATTTAAAACTATGGAAGTCTCTTCCTCTGCACTGACGGCTCAGACCACATCTCCTTCTTGTTCACTACTATCCCAATGACTCAACCTATACAAAGTCGTATTCAGTTTTGGCTTATTTTCAAGGACTTTTGCAGACCCATTTAGATTAAATTCTAGAAACAAACCTCTACTGAGCTATTGTATGGCCATAGATGGTTGATATATTTTGAAAGCGCCTCTGAGGTTGTTACAATACGATACTCATTAACACATGACGGTAATAGCATTATTGGGCAGCAACCTATACACCTTATGCAGAAATAAAAGAAAGAGTAGGCTTAACCCAAGCCCCAGCAGAATCCAACTTGATTCGATTCCGGATTTTTTTTTTTTTTTTTTTTTACTTGCTTCCAACTATTTGAACTCACATGCAACCAAAACAAATTCCCGTCACAAAACCAACTTTTAGGTTAACCTAAAAGCTTTATACTAAAAAATAACTTTCGACAAGTCTCTTCGCGAGAACGTTTCTAGAATTCAGTCCTAGAGCATCAGGTAAGCACTGGAGCCATTGTGCAGGTAGTTCACAACTCTCCAAGACTCGCTGTGGCGCTGACACAGCCACGACACACTCGGAAGGTGGAGCATCCAGGCTAACGTCGTCAGCCGGAAGAGCGATTCTGGAAACCCTCTCCACACCCTGAGCTCTCCACTCCCCCCCAGCAGCCTGCAGGCTCCTAAAGCGATGGTTCTTAACCTGTGGGTCGGGACCCACTTGGGATTGCACATCAGATACATTACGATTCATAACAGTAGCAAAATTAGTTATAAAATAGCAACGAAATAATTTTAGGCTTGGGGTGATGACCACAACATGAGGAAGGCGCAGCATTAGGAAGCTGAGGCCCATTGCCCTAAAGCCTGCACGCCACAGGAGCCCGCCGGTAGGAGAGGGCTCCTTGGATCCAGTGCTCTTAAGCCAGCCCCTTCTGGGCGAGCCTGCGACACTCGGAGGTCTCAAGTTTCGGGGCCAACATCCGCAATTTTCTTAGTGATTTTGCATGCGGGATTTTCAAACCTTCCTTAAAGTAACTCAGCCCTTGATCTTTCTTCCTTGCTCCGCAAACATGCTGAGCTCCGGCCTACTACAAGCTTTCTCAAACCGCCTCCCTCTAAGGACAAAGGACTGAGGCTCTGCGACACTAAAGGCGGGAGGGGCAAGCCGGGGAAGCAAAGCGGGGCGCAGGCAAGAGCTGGGAAGAGCCCAGGACTGGCATGGAGGCGGGGCCTGGGAGGACGAGGGGCGGGGCCTGCTGCTCGGAAGCGTTGGCAGCCGAAGCGGGGCGAGGGCAGGAGTTGGAAGAGCCGGGACTGGCAACGGGGCGGGACCTGGCCGAGGGAGGGGCGGGGCCAGGTGAGCCGGGGCGGGGCCGAGCGCTGTGGCCGGCGGAGCTAGGAACGTCGAGGGGCGGGGCCTGGCGGGGAGGGGCGGGGCCGAGAGGCCGGGCCCAGAGGGGGTGTGGCCAGCTCGTCCGCCGCGAGGCCCCGCCCCTCCCTTCCTCTCTGCCTGTCCCTTCGCCGGAGGGAGCCGGGCAGCGAACCGAGAGGGGTGATCCAGGCGGCGGTGCTGGCACGCTCCTCTCGGGAACTGGCCGGCGTGGAGAGGGACGACCCAGATCCGCACCGCCGCGATCGCTGTGCCCAGCCGTCCCTTCTCGCCATGTCCCACAGCAGGCATCGTGCCGAGGCCCCGCCGCTGCAGCGCGAGGACAGCGGGACCTTCAGGTCAGCGCTGGGCTGTCGAGGCCGCAGGCCCAACCCGGGTGGGCAGCGGGGCAGGGGCGGGAGGCCGGCTATCGGGCTGCATTCTGGGTAAAGCCCCCTCCTTCCCTCGGCGTGGCGCTGGGCCCGCCCTCCGGGCCCGGGCTTCTGCCGCGCGCCCCGCCCCTCCGGCGACCCCGGGCGGCTCGCGGATCAGGGGTGCCGCGGAGACCCAGGTGAAGAGTTGAGCTAGCATGCAGCGCCCGAGCCCACCCGGTTTCTTTCAGCCTCCCTCCCACCGCTCTCAAGTTCTCTCTCTACAGACCTCTCTTACCCTCATCCACGAGCTGCAGCACCCCGAGGCAGGTGCGCGCCCAGGCCTTGCCCTGGCTGCTGGGGGAGCTGCGGTGCCTTTTTGTCACCGTTTGCCACCATTTGCCAAAACTGACAAGTGGATGCTTTTGCTTCCCTTTCAGCTTTGGCGTGCAAAGTATACGTTTTTCTGGTTTTTGCAGTTTGGGCAAGATGATAACAGCTAAGCCTGGGAAAACACCGATTCAGGTATTACACGAATACGGCATGAAGACCAAGAACATTCCGGTTTATGAGTGTGAAAGATCCGATGTGCAAGTACACGTGCCCACTTTCACCTTCAGAGTCACCGTTGGTGACATAACTTGCACAGGTCTGTATGCAGTTATCTAACCCCATGACCATGTGGACTGGCGGTCCTGACTTTGCGTTGCTTTTCAGAAAGGAAAGTGCCGCGCCCCCCACTTACCTAAGACAGCTAGGGAGCAGACTCTGAAGACAAGACTCCGGCATCTACTGCATTTGTTTCGCTCCCTAAGATGTAAGGAAGCTCAGAAACTCCAAGAACCCTGCACACCCTTTCTTATACCTGAGGGGCCTGCTAAAAGTTCTGCTTAAGAATTACAAAACTGGAAAGGTTCTTGGAGCGGCGACAGTTAGGTCAGTAGGAACTCTCACCTTTCAAAGTTACAAATGCAGAAGCTAATAGGCATGGCCTCGGAGTTTTCTGAGTTTCTCCCTTTATGGACACCCCCGGAACTGTGGATTCTTGGCACCACTCCTGTGTCCATGAAAACTCAGAGGTAGAAGACTCCCGTTCTGCATCCCTCCAAATTGTATACACAGTAGCTTCTCGTTCTAGATACTATTCTGGCACTTTGAATAAGACTGTTTTCCTTTTTATTCATGAGGTAGCAAGTTCAGAGTCGTCTACATAAACCACATGCCCAAGGTCACACACAAGGAACTTTTCAAGTTCAGAGTCATACCTTCTTTCAGCCTGAGCCTAAGAAAATGGGAACCAGAGTCACCGTTTGTAGATGTGGACATTATTTTCCCATATAACTATTTAGCTGAAAACATAAAACTTGTTTGAATGCTTTAATTTCTAGAGATACAATGAAAAATTAGGAAACGCTAAAGTTCCACTGTCTAGTCTGAATGATCATATATTTGTATCTGGGATTCTAGGTTTGCCTAGATTCACTGACATCACTTCAAAAATACTGAAGCTTTTGTGCATGTGTTGGGAAGGCATATGGATTGTAGGCATATGCTAGAAGGTTCCTTAGAGAAATCCACAAGGCTAAAATTGAATTACTACGTTAGCTGGCCATCTTTCAAATATTTGGGAGGAGCATCCAAGGAAAAAATATATACCCACTTTCCCCTTGTTAGAGATGAGCAACTTTTTCAACCATTCTGCCTTCTACCTCTCCTTACACAACCCTGCCTTGTCTTTTTGCGGTAACATATCAGCCTTCACAGCCTCCAATACTATCTAAAGACTAATGAGTCTGAAATCTTCAGCCAGATACAGAACACTATATCTGCCCGTGTGCTTCCTGGTCATCTTTGCTTGGATTTAGGAAAAGACATTTCAGACTCTTGTCCTATACGTAACCATCTTTTCACAGCTCATTTTTCTTATATTCTCTTCTTCTGTGAGGCACCACGGTTGAAGCTTGAGGTGGTCTTCTTGACTCCGTCCTGTACTTCTTTCTGCTGTCCTTGTGTCTGTCTTGTTATAAACCCTATCTCCCGGATAGCAGTTGAGTCGGTTTCTGCCTTCTCTCTGTTGCTGCCTCTAGTCTAGATTCTCAGCCTTCCTAACTCTGTGACCCTTTAATACATTTCCTGGGTTGTGGTGACCCCAGTCATTGCTACTTCACAGCTGTAATTTTGCTATTGTTACGAGTCAGAATATAAATATCTGACCCCTGTGGGGGGGGTCGCAACCCACAGGTCGAGAACCACTGTTCTAGACCACTGCCATTTCTCTCTTAGACCGAAGCCCCTGTCTTGTAAGTGCTCTTTCAACTTGGAGTCTCGTGGTGCCCATTCTCTGCACGGCAGCTCTTGTTCTTGGTTGCAGTTTTGAGGCAGACGCAGCCTCAAGCTGACCTTGAACCCCTTGTGCTCCTGCCTCAGCCTCCCAAATGCTGGGCTTATCGATGTGCACCGACCATTACCCAACTCAGAGCGCTTCTGCCAGCATCCCAGTTTGTTTCCCTCTTCTTTACAGTGCATCCAGTGGTTCCCCACTGCCCGAACTTTTAAAATAAGCCCCAACTTGTTAACGTGATTTACGTCTGTCTTCAAATATCGGCAAGGAGCCTCGATAGCGCATGGGCATTTGGTAGGAATGCAGAGCATCGGCATTCGGTGATCGGTGGTGAGGTCAGGGTACATGTTTTTTAAAAAAAAATCCCCCTGGCAATTCTTACACACATGAAGGTTTGGAAGACACAGATTTATATATGCTCCACTTATTCCTCCATCCCTGTGTCTCAGAATCCTTTTCCTGAAGCTCGCTGGCTTTATTCGTATTCAGCTGCTTGGGGCCTTGGGAATGCCGTGTGCTGGGCTGCCCTGAAACCTTTGCCTGCAGTGTGCTTCTGATCCTCTGCTCTCCTTCACTTCGCTTGTCTTCTGGGAGTCCATTTCGTTCTCTCTTCCTTAGTGAAAACTTCCTGAATGTCTCCAAGAGTATCTGAGCTTTCTTTCATTTTTGGCTCTGACACAGTGTCTGGTGGGGGCTCAAGATGGCCCCTAACTTCCAATCTGCCTGCCTCGGCCTTCTGAGTAGGTAGGATTGCGTGGCCACACCTGACAAGCCGCTGATCTTGCCGCCTCCTTACAGCTTGTGCCAAGGCGTGTTATAACACACCCTTTGTTTCCAATATCTGTTCAAGGACATGCGGCTCTCAGTCCTAGAGAATAAGAGATTCTGTCTACTCCTGGGACACAACTCAAATATCTGTTTTAGTAGATAACAGAGTATAGGGCTCTGTATCCTCTGATACTTGAGGGTCACAGTTCAAAACATTTTCCATGAGTTTGAGGATTTGAACTCCAAATGAAAAGATGGACTTTCACCATTTACCTCATGTGGCGGCTGGGATGAAGACATCAGTCTTCCCGCATCCCCCATGTACCCATGTTAGCTACACAGATTGCGTGGAAGGCTCAGGACGTAAGCTTTACCTTCCATATGTGAACCTTTCTCCACACCACTCAATGTGTACTCTGGCCTGTTTAGCTACAGCGGGGGCTGTCAGAGGCTTCCTTTAAGGAAAGCTCGCTGGAGAAGAATTTCTTCTCTGTCTAGGAATAAAGGAAAAGCAAAATGCTAAGTTCTGTTTCTTCAGAAGGTATGATATGATCCAGCTTATTCCTGTTTTACATGATGCACAAATATAATATAGAATAGTGTTTTATACAGGTATGCAGAAACTCAAATAGGTAACACTTCTAAATTGGCTTTAGTGTATTGATTTCACATGATGAATGTTGCGCTAACATACCTGCGTGTAGTGGATAGTTTCAGTAGCAAGCATGCATGTGGTGATCTTGTTTTGCATTATGACAACAGCTGTGAGACCCATACTTCTTCACAGAGACTAAGACTTTTGTCTCCCGACTTTAATTCAGGTGAAGGCACGAGTAAGAAGCTTGCGAAGCATAGAGCTGCAGAGGCCGCCATAAACATTTTGAAAGCCAATGCAAGTATTTGGTGAGCTAAATTTCTTTGTATTCTGCAGCTCAAAAATTTCATGGCCGAGGTAAGATGAAAAATTTTCACATGCTCACAACAGAGTGAACAGTTGTTAGTAATATTCACTCTAAAATTCCAGATCTGTGAAAGCCTGCCATCCATTAAAGACAATTTGAGCCTATTAAATCTGGTTCAACTTCCTTTAGTTAGCTGCTAAAGGAAGGCTGTCATGAACTAGGCTTTACTGGTTCACAGTGAAGTGTAATCAGCATTTGTGGCAGATAGTAATATTCTTAATATGCAGGGTATTAATTTGTTAATTAATTGATTATTTGGACACTAAAAAAGTAAGGTATAAGGAAAAAAGATCAGTAAAAGTAGTACCTTTTTCTTTTCCTTTCTTTTCTTCTTTGTTTTTTAGTTTTTTCAAGACAGGGTTTCTCTGTGTAGGCCTGGGTGTCCTGGATCTAGCTCTGTGGTGCAGGCTGGCCTCAAATTCACACAGCCCACCTGCCTCTCTGCCTCCCCAGTGCTGGGATTAAAGGTGTGTACCACCACTGCCTGGCCAACTGTTTTTCTTTTTCCTTTAAGAGATGGTCTTAAGTTGCCTTTTGTAGCCCACCTGGCCTGAAATTTACTCTTAATTAAGCCCAGGCTGGTCCTCCCACCTCATCCTCTTTGATGCTGGTATCATAGGCACGTGCCGCTCTGACTAGCCAGAAGTGCTCTCAGGAGTTCTCACTGGGAACAAGGATCAAGGCGTACCTTTCCTGTGTCAAATACAAGGGGGACATTTCAAAGCGGAAATGTCATCACTGTCAGTGCTTTTGGAAAGAGTATTGTCTTGCCGCATTGTAGGTCTCATAAATGGTTTCCTCTGGGTACACTGTGGAACACGGCATGTCACCAACTTCTTCCCTTACACAGAAGTGCTTGGAGTTTGGTCTTGTGTAATTTGTCCACAGTTGGCCAAGTGACCAGTGGACTTCAGGTAGACTGGTGTTTTTGTCCTCTACCATAGTGGAACTTACAGGTTTAGGAGTATATTTAGGTTCCATGCAGTAGCTCTCAGTCACGCCAAAAGTTTTGGGTAATTTAAAACCAGTGACAGATTTACCTTCAAGGTAAGTGCTTGCCCCGGGCCAGCCTTGATATTTACCTCCCTGTGGTCCTGTGTATCAGTGACCTATGCTGGGTTTCAGGGCCTACCTTCAGTAGCACGGCTTTCGAGCTCTTCCACTTGTGGGCGGTGGCCCTGCTGTTCTGCGCAGCTCAAGGTCATACCCAAATGTGTTGGGTCTATTTGTAGAAATCAGCCAACAGTATGTCTTCTCTATACACAGGCTCCTCACTCTGCCGCCACGAACCTTTACTATGTATTTGCAACAGTAAACAAACTTTACTATGTATTTGTGCTTCTTGACAGATAAGATGAGAATTACTAAGCTGTAATCAGGCCTACAGTGCCTGATTTAATACAGAGGCTTTCTCACCTCTCCATCCCAATTCTTTGCGTAGCTTCGGCATGCGGCATTGTAAGTGAGTACATGTACCTCGTGAGCCTGTGTTCCACCTGGCAGTTGGAGGAGATGGCAGTAGCTGAAACTCATGTGGCTCAGTAGAAATGACTCAAGTTGCTTAGGTGGTTGTCAATGTGGAGAGCAGCTTTCCCAGAATAGGCATCCATTTCCCAAGTAACTAGCAATTTCAGACTCCCTGAAGAGACTGTTCTCTTTCCCCTGATTATAAGCCCCCCACATGTTAAAACCAGGTTCATATAGGACATCTACTTTATGCAAGGTATATCAAAATCTTAGAGAATTATATATTGAATGGAACAAAGTTTTCTTGCCTGGATATCTGGATGAAAAAGAATTTACAGTCTGTGTTACCACATTGCTAGGCTAAATTTTTTGGCTAATGGTTGTCTTTTTTCTTTTAAGTAGTTTTAATAGTAATGTACTTTGTGCATTCGTACACACACATAATTTTTAAGAACTTCAGACATGCATCTCTGCCCTGTCCCCCTCATCCTTGTCCAACCCTCCTCTCCATTCCAAGTTCATGACCTCTTATTTAATTGGTATTGCTACATGAACTTTTTCTGAAACTGTTTTTAGATTTTTTTTCAATGTGTATGAGTGTTTTGCCCACATGTATGTATGTGTACTGCATGTCTGGTGCCCACAGAGGCTAGAAGGAGGCATCTGGTTCCCTGGAAGTGGTGCATGGGTGGCTGTTAGCTATCCTGACCCCATGGGGAGTGGGAACCAAACTCAGGTTCTCTGTAAGAGCAACGTGCTCTTAACCACCAAGCCACCTTTCCAGCCCCTCATATGAACGTTTTAAATATTTTCATTAAGCAACTCTTATGTACAGTGCACTGTAAAACTTATATAAGTAAATAATGAATAGGCCCTGCCACCGTACAGCATCCAAAGTGATTCAGAAGAAGTTACGTGAGGACTGTGCAGGCTGAGTGCCACAGTGAATCATTTATGATCAAACAACTTTTTAAAGAGCCAGCCCAAGTTTGTTTTTTAAAAAACATAGGGTCTTCTGTAGCTCAGGCTAGCCTCCAACTTGCTTTGCTTAAGGCTGGCTTTGAGCTCCTGGTTGTCTTTCTTGCCTCCATCTCCAGGAGTGGCATGTGCCACCACGCTTGGCCCCAAACGGTGTGGTGATTCAGAAGAATGAGAGATTATGGTCTCCTGTGGTAAAAGGACAGGCATCTGGAAATGAGGCTTGGCAGAGCTCTTGGTTGATGGGTTGATTAGATTCCCAAAGAAGTCAGAGTGAGGGGTATTCAGTCCTCGTGGAAGAAACGGAAAAGCTAGGGCTGAGGCAGTTAAGTAGAGAATATGTTGTCATTCTTTTGGCAGCTTGGAGGAAATCATTTTGTTTAGTAACACTTTTAAATAATGTTTAGCTTTGCAGTTCCTGACCCCTTACTCCCTGAGCCATCCAAACAGCCAAAGAATCAGCTGAATCCAATTGGCTCATTACAGGTAAGGCAGTTTCCCAGTTTCTCTCCTGACCAATGTCTAATAAGTTTGCATTATCATAGAGTCAAGAAGCTGATACTGTAAACATAATGTGGGAATATTAGTATTTTGTTTTCTTTTTTGTGTCTTTTGAGACCTCAGGCTGGCCTCAAACTCACAGAGATTCACCTCTTCTGCCTCCCAAGTGGTGAGATTGATGGTGTGTGCCCCAGCAATGAGTACTTTGTTTTCTAAGTTGTGATAATTACAGTCTGTATAGCTAGCTTGAAATTATTTTTTAGTAATCTATTTAAGATTGTCCTCTTATTCAATAATCAATGAGCAGATTTTGCTACAGCAGGGTAGGGTGTCTATGCTTGGCTTAGCCAAAAAGGCTAAGAAGCAGTTGGGTAGCGAGTTTTATGCTTTAAGGGTATGATATTTCTTACCACTCTCTTAACAAACCTCTTGTTACTTCTGTTGAAACAGAATTTACACAGAGCCATAGTTGTGTAACTAAATTCAAGAGAAGAGAGGTAGCCTACTTAATTGCTTAATTCTGGCAAAAGAAAAGAAAAGAAAATTCTCATTGAACTCAGGCATCAGCTCACTGTGACATAATAGAAAAGTGCTGCCATTGGCACTAAACTGCACTGTGTTTTGGCACTGTGGTATAAGAATATAAAGTGTGGGAATGCCCATGGGAAATGCCAGGGTGTGCCCTGTTTTCCATTGGCCAGTACTGTGACTCTTTACAAGCACATGACTGAAGCCATGTGAGAGGAAGATCATTTGTGTGACTGAGCCATCAAAGAGTTAAAGTTACTATGATAACCTCACTGATTTTTACAGGAATTGGCTATTCACCATGGCTGGCGACTTCCTGAATATACGCTTTCCCAAGAAGGAGGACCTGCTCATAAGAGAGAATATACCACAATCTGCAAGCTAGAGTCGTTCATGGAAACTGGTATGCAGTTCTTACAAGTAGTCATTCATGGAAACTGGTACGCAGTTGTGAAAGTAGAGGCATTAGCAATATTTTCATATGGGAAATTGTCATAGAAATTTCTGTCATGTGGCCTTTTGAAGATTGATGTCTCTTTTCTCCTATCTTTCACTTTCTGAGAATAGTTATATTTCTTCTTAATTTGATGTTTTAAAAATGTGTCTGTAATTGAAAAGATAGGCAAATTATGGGCTCTATGCATAAGTAGTTTTCATTGGACTAAAAAATGGGGTGAGGAGTCACAGACTATGTGGCAAAAAAAAAATTGTGGTGAACTTGTGAGCATCTTTCTCTTAATGGTAGAATATTTGCTTAGCTTGTATAAGGCCCTAGTTTCAGTACCCAGAATCATAAAATATAAATAATATAAGTTACAAAGAGATAATAGAAATTGTCCTTAAAAAATCATTTATTTTTCCTTTATGTTAATTGGTGTTTTACCTGTGCTGTCTGTGTGAGGGTGCTGCATCTCCTGAAGCACGAGTCACAGACAGGTGTGAGCTGCCATGCGGGTGCTGGGAATTGAACCCAGGTCCTCTGGAAGAGCAACCATCGCTCTTAACCCCTGAGCCATTTTTCCAGCCTGAAATTGTCTTTTTTAATTGCAGCAAATTAAATATTAAATTGCAGCAAATAAACCATAGGAAATAAAAACCAGTCATTTAAAAAAGTCCTAATGAGAAATCCTGTGTTAATGCCCCTGGCGTGCTTGGGCCACTTCTACAGTGAATTAATATGGGACTGCATGAGCTCCGGGTGCAGGTCAGTGGGTGCAGGTCAGTGGTAGAGGCCCTGGGTCTAACGCCGAGTACTACACACATGAGAAAATAAAATAAAATAAAATAAATAGGCTTCTACCTTAGCTGGAGATCACACGTGATGAACAGGCCAGTGTTTACTCTTAAGTAACCGTGTGGGCCAGCGCAGAAGACACTGGCCCAGAAGCACATCCTTCAGCTTATGTTCTTCATGTAGTTCTTCATCTAAAGGGTTGAGCAACTTCTTAGTCTCCTTGAGTTTCCATTTTATTATGTATTGGTTGTTTAGTGCTGTTGGATATTTGACACACAGCCTGTCATGTGCTAGGCAAGTGCTCTGTGACTGAGTTGTTTCTGTTTGTTTTTGTTTTTGACAGGGTCTCTAGAGCACTGGCTGCCCTAGAACTCGCTATGGGAAACCAGGCTGACCTTGAACTTACAGAGGTCCAGCTGCCTTTGTTAGGAGTTATAATTCAAGTGTATTTGATAAATTTGACAAATCTTATTGGCCAGAATTCAGTGAAACATGATTCATATGCTGGGATAGGGAAATGGCTTTGTAAGTGCTGCAAAGTTGCAATATTGTTAAAGAAAATCTGTCTAAAGAATTACTGGGCCACTTGCTGCACAAACATAAGAACCCACGTTTACATCTTCAGCACCCACTTATGACCAGGGCAGAGTAAGGTGCACCGTTCCCTGAGGCTCCCTGGTCAGCTGATGTTGCTGAAACGGAAGAGAGGACACTTAACACAACAACAACAACATGCAGATGGGGAGCAACAGAGAAAGACACCCAACATTGGCCTCTGGCCTCTATGTACGCCAACATGGGTGGGCACACACACACACACACACACACACACACACACACAGTCACTTGTACACATCAGACACTCACACACAAATATTTTCAAAACTATAATAATCAATGGTTATTTGAGGACTGGTGGCACAGCTTAGTGATAGCAGATTCACCTATAGCATAGAAAGTTCCCGAGAGTCCCTGGCTTTGATCCCAGCAGCACACACACACCTATTATTTGTGTGTATGTGTGTGTTTGTGTATTTTAGTATTTTTAGCTTGGCAGATAGATGGTGGCAGACCTAATAAATACGAACGCAGAAGGACTTGGGATGTAGGGTTTGTTGAAATAAATTCAGTATACACACTACATATATATTCCAACAGCATAATATATATTATTTTATATGGTACAATAAACAAAAATGTTAGTGAAGTAAAATACTGGGCCAGTGTATGAAAATTCTGAGGTATTCACTAATAAAACACAATTATGTATACTTTTGGCCACTCTCCATGTACAATAATTTTTAAATCTATTCTTTCTTTCTTTCTCTCTCTCTTTTCTTTCTTTCTTTCTTTCTTTCTTTCTTTCTTTCTTTCTTTCTTTCTTTCTTTCTTTCTTTCTTTCTTTCTTTCTAGGAAAGGGAGCATCAAAAAAACAAGCCAAGAGAAATGCTGCTGAGAAATTCCTCGCCAAATTTAGTAATATTTCTCCAGAGAACCACATTTCTCTAGTAAGTAGCAATCAGACAGGGCAGATGCAAGTTTGGCTGAGTGTCTCCTGTTGCAGGAAACACCCCTTCGTTTCCTGCCCTGATACCTCAGAGTTGCAATTTTTAAAATCTCTGCATGAGTTTAACGTGACTCCAGTCTTTGTTGGCACTTGTACGTGAGCTAGAGTTGGTTCAGGTAAGAGGATGTGGGAGATAAAGTATATTCAGGATCTCAGTGCTCAGCGTGCAGGAGGTCCAAAGAAGCAAGTTAACAAACAGTGGTCCTGTGGTACTGTCTTTATGCATCATTTGTTCAAGCATCTGCCCATCTAGTGACCATTTGGTGACCTTGTACTGTATCAGGTACTGTGGTACAGTTCAGCCAGCTTCTGCCTCTGACCAATTTAGTATCTGAAAGAGGAGAGTTTGCTACAGATAGGCCAGGGGAGGATGCCACAAGACCATGGAAGAAGGCATCCAGCCAAATCTTTAGGAGGAAGTAGCATCAACGCTGAGATCTGGTGGGAAAATAAGGGAAGTAAATTTGAGGGTGAAAGTGATGAGCACAAAGTCCCTGGGTAACAATGCCATATTTAGTCAAAGAACCTTAAATAGTTGATAGATCCAGATCATAGCGTTAGATGGGGGAATTCCCAAAGAAGGAGGCCGGGTGTTGGGTTCGGGGTGGAAGCCAAGAAGATTTATTTCAGATGTGGAAGCTTAAATGGAAAGCATTATGTTCTGAGCGCAGCGAGGCGGCCAGTTTCTGGTTCTGAACAGTCCCCAAGCGCAAGCTGTATTGCATGTTTAAAGGTGAAAACCATAGGGCAAGGGGGAGCAGCGTGGGCTGTAGCCTTGTCCAATCATATTATGACATAAGGGGTCGAGCAAGGGAGTTTCCACCAATCAGGATACGAGTTGGTCCCTGGACCTGGGAACATGAACTTGTTTGGCCCTGCCCTAAGATGGAGAAGCTGTCCTTGAGAAGTCTGGACTCAGACAACTGTCTCCTTACAACAGATGCTGTTCGGCTACTGGGAAGTCCCCCATCCCCCTATGGCTTGGGACCTTGAACTTACTTTTCCCTATAATTAAATGGAGTCTAAAGACAAAATGATAAAGTTTCTTTTGCTTGTTCCCAACACCAGGCAGACAAAGAGAGCTCACATCTTAAGTTGACTAACTATTCTAAAGAGATGACCATTTATACTGAGGGTAGTGCAGAGTTGCCAACAAATTTTATCCTGCAGCCCCCCCCAAATCTGATTGTTTAGTTAGGAAGGAAATCACTTGGATGGATTATAGGGAGTAAATGAAGAGTAGAACCAGGGAGAGCCCTAGTATGCTATAATAGAAAACAGATGCCATGTGATAGTCTAGACTAAGGTGGAGGCAGAGGGAACTGAGGAGTAGATTTTTAAATCCCTTTTGGAGGAGCTGGAGAGGCTCGGTAGTTCAGTGCTCTCTCCGGTCTTGCAGAGAGCCCAGGGCAGGGCCCAAGTGGGAAGAGCTTATGGAAAGAAAAGCATTTCTGTTGGAGGTGCTCTCTACTCAGTGCTGCAGAGAAGCAAACCTGGGTCCTCTGGAAAGCAACCAGTGCGCTAACCCCTGAGCGGCGCTCCAGCCCGGGCGTGGGTGTTCAGTCCCAGTGGAAAGAGGTAGGCACTAAAGTTTCCCTCATCTCTGCCTTTCAGACAAACGTAGTTGGGCATTCCCTGGGATGCACCTGGCACTCCTTGAGGAATTCCCCTGGTGAGAAGATCAACCTGCTGAAAAGAAGCCTCCTCAGTCTCCCGAACACAGACCACATCCAGCTGCTCAGTGAGATTGCCAAGGAGCAAGGCTTTAGCATAACATATTTGGATATAGGTATGCTTTCTTATTTATCCTGACATCTTTCTCATTCCTCACCTCCCCGGTGCTGGGGTTATGGGAGCAAACCATCACATTGTCCTACCTCTGTGGATTTTCACTTAATTCAGTGTGTGTGTGTGTGTTTAGTGTCTTGATTGTAGCATCAGAACAAGGTGATAATCCTATTCAGACTCTGGAGACCTGGCCTTGCAGGAGTCAATTCTCTCTTTTTGTCATCTGGGTGTCAGAGATCACACTCAGGTTTCAGACTTAGCCTCAAGCGCACTCACCTGTATTAGTGTTTCTTTCGGATCTCTTTGGGTGATTATGAAACAGACTTGAGAACTGCTGCAGCTGAGCATGTGAGGAGGATAGTGGTGGTTGTCTCATTTTGGTTTGATTTTTTTTTTTCCTTGAGTGTCTTGCCTTATAACCCAGGCTAGCCTAGAAATGGCTTTACCTAGAACTCTCTGTATGCCTCAGGCTAGCTTGGAAGAGGCTATCCTCCTGCTTCTACCCAAGTGCTATGGAATTCAGGTCCAAGCTAGGACATCCCACTCCCCGTCCATTTTGTTTGTATAAGTATCAATGAATGAGTGAGGTCGTGTATTATGGAGGCTTAAAGACCAACAAGAACAAATGTTTTTCTGAAGGATCTGCTTTACATGTACCCAGCACTAACTGTTATGTTTGCGTGTGTCATTGCAGAAGAACTGAGTGCCAACGGGCAGTATCAGTGTCTCGCGGAGCTGTCCACCAGTCCCATCACTGTGTGTCATGGCTCAGGCATCTCCTGTGGCAATGCCCAGAGCGACGCTGCTCACAACGCTCTGCAGTATTTAAAGATAATAGCAGAGAGAAAGTAGAAGCGGCTCAGCAGGTCTCTGCAGCACAGAAGTTTCCCCCGCACCTCTTTCCCAGTAAAACATTTACCACAACGTATGTCTGCGTGTCCTTTCCAGATCTCTTCAGAATCCGTCAGCTTTCCGGATTTAATTGTCTCCTGGTAGTTGTTATCAAGCTCTTTTTAATGGCTTCACCTTTGTATTGGTATATTGTATTTATAAACTTTGTACCACAGGCTGAGCGTCGCGCCCCGTTTTACAGGGTCAGGCACACAGGGTGGACCTGCATGTTTGACTGTGACAACGAAGAGACAAAGTCCTGCTAGCCACAGTCTGACCGGTGCTTAACTCTTCTGTGCAAAGCTTTGTGAAGTGGATTCCAAGGAAACCCTTTAGACTAGAGTGTTGAGGCTTGTGTTGAATGTCATTGCTAAATTTCAGGGAACGTGGTCGGTCTGCTATGTGTTTGAAACCATGGAATAAAGAACTGTTGTTATAATGGGGCCCTGCTCTTTTGATTAAGTAGCTGCTCACTTGATCTCAGCTCTGCCCTCTGGAGGCAGATGTTCTGGGAACATGTCGACTTGTGCAATCTACATGTCACAGAAAGTCTGAGGTAAAAGCCTGGCACCCAAGGATGATCTGGAAATGCATGTGAGCATCATGTCTTGATTTTTCTCTAGGCCTCTGCAACACTGTGTTTTTCTTTGACATAACCACGTGTAAATGAATAAGTTTTTAAAAGCATTACTACAGTTACAAAATATAAACGGTAACAGCAGAAACCCATCCAGTTCACTCAATTCTTTTATAAGAAGATTCCAAAGACATGATTTGACCCAAAGGTTAGGAAAGGGGCTGGAGAGATGCCTCAGTGGGTAAAGGTAACCAACGCTGACAACTTCAGTTGATTCCCTGAACCCACATGGTGGAAGGAGGAGAACTGACCCCCACGAGTTGCCCTCTGACCTCCACAGATGTGCTGTGGCACACACATGCAATCAGTCCACCAATGTAAGAACATACACGCTTTAAAAGTTGTGGGGAAAGGTTAGCTCTCCTTTGTGCATGGTGACTTAGTCCCTCCAGGGATGTTGCTGACGTTCGCCCCTCAGCTGTCGAACTTTTTCACAGCTGCCTTCCCTGGAGAGAGCCACCTGTTACTCATATTTTCTCATCATCCCAGCTTCAGAGTTTCCATACACAGGGACGGCTGAGGCTGCCTTGTGGGTTTTTTTTTGTGGTGTTTTACTTTGGCTTTAGTGTTTTGTTGTGTGTTTGTTTTTTTTTTTTTTTTTTTTTTTTTTTCCAGAGCTGAGGACCGAACCCAGGGCCTTGCGCTTGCTAGGCAAGCACTCTACCACTGAGCTAAATCCCCAACCCCTGGCTTTAGTGTTTTGACACAGGGTCTCTACATAGCCCTGGCTGTCCTAGAACTCACTATGTAGCTCAACTGGCCTTGAACTCATGGAAATCTGTCTGCCTCTGACTCCAGAATGCTGGGATTAAAGGCCTGTCTCGTTACACCCAGGTTGCCTTTGTGACTGCATTATATATCCCCACTTCTCCCCCCCTGCCCCATTGGCCTTCTTTCCCTGCCACAGGTGGCGGCAGGCACCACTGCCCACTGAGCCATTGGAGAGGAGGTTTTAAAGGTAAAGCTTCTATGCAGAAACCTCTAGACAGAGGTACCTGGGCTATCAAAGTAAAGCCACAGGCATCCTAGCCAGGAGCCTGAGGCCTAGCCTGCAAATTCCCTTACTTAGAGCCTGGAGTGCTCCCGTGAGGCAGTGAGTTTGGTGTGTTGGGGAGGGGCCGACTTTTGTGAGGCTTGCTGGGTGCAGCCTATGATGAGGCATGAATTCATAGGCATTTGAATTTGAGTGCCTCATGAATTCATGAGGCTTTTGGCCAGGAGCAGGACTCCTTACTATTCCAGCTAAACATCTTCCCTCGAAGATCTTAAGAAGCCTTTGACAACTTGAATACCTCTCTATGGCCCTATTAAGCATGAGCCCTGAGGCTCACTGAAGCTTCCTGCTGAATGGGCAAACTTGGGAAGCCTTACTTTTGGTCATGCAGGCCAATGCTAGATGCACAACAGTAAACAGGATGTTGACTGAGTGGCTATGAGCAGGGGGATTGCATCTTGTGCATAGCTGTGTCTTGGAAGACTCCCGAAGGGCAGTCATCCTATTGGTGGTGACCCCGCACGGCTGTCGAGGCAGTACTTTATACAGTGAAATTATGATTTTTTTGAGACAGGATCTCACTATGCAGCTCTGCCTGTCTTGGAACTCATTACGTAGACGAAGCTGGCCTCAAACTCACAGAGATCAACCTGTGTCTGCCTCCCAAGTGCTGGCATTAGAGGCGTGTGCCATTATGCTCTGCTGAAATGATAGTATTTTTAATGTGTACTTTTCAATTTGGTTTTTGTTTGGTTCTGTTAATATTTTTGAGCATTTTTTATAGGTATAGGTGTTTTGCTTGCATGTATGCCTGTACACCAAAGCATACGGTGTCCACAAAGGCCAGAGGGCGCTGTACTTGGAGCTGGAGTTACAAACAGTTGTGAGCCACCATGTGGGTGCCAGGAACTGAACCTGGGTCCTCTCAAAGAGAGCCTGGTGCTGTTAACCACAGAGCCATATTTCCAACCCTCTACTTTTCAATTTTATGATCATCTGCCTCATTTCAAATACCTGGTGTCAGTTCTGTTGTACCACTTAAATTTTATGATTCCAGCTTCATAAAATTTGACCATACTCCATACTCAGCTAAAGGCTAAAAAAGAATAAACAGCCTGGGCTGGAGGAGCAGGCACCTCACCACCTCAGCTTCCTAACATCTGGGAGGCCCAGGCTTCAACGCCAAGCACACTACTCCCTCAAAAGAATGAAGAAGCTGAAGCATGACCTAGAGGTGTCCTTCATCCCACACATGGTTGAAAGGGTGCATCGTCTATCTTTGTTGCCTTATTTCCAGGTATTAAATAATTCACTTGCATAGCATCCATTTCTTCATTTAGAAAATGATGCACGTTCATTTGTAATTCTGAACCCTGTGGTCAGGCCTGCAAAGTAGTTCTAAAAGGGATCTCTCTTGCTTACTAAGGGCATCTGCACAGCAGCGTTTTAGCAAGCACTATGAACCAAAAATACTAAAGACCAACACCAAACTTTGCTCCAATGAGGTGTTCACCCTTAGTTTTTACGCTGCTAAAATGAAATTACACACTCTCATGTTTTGTCGGTATTGCATCCATGAAAGCACTTTACCACTGAACTACCCCCCCCCCGCCCTAAAATAAAAGACCATGCTGTTAATAGCAGAAGTAAAGCGTTTCCTCAGACTTCGTTACTGTGTCAAGTGTCTCACACGGATTATCACAATCGACACCTCAGTTCTCTGGTATTCCAGTCAGTCCATTTACAGCTGTGTTGTCAGGTAAGCAGATGAAAATACTGAATGCCCTGTCAGGTTCTTCATCCTGCCCACAACACTGTAATGATAGCTTGCTCTGCATCACCTCTGGAGCAGCCTTAGTAGCCATGCTCTTGGTGTCCACTCCCCTACAAACCCCAGTTCCCTCAGCTGGAAGGAGGATTACAAAATGAGAGGAATATGCAAAGGCTTTGAAGACCTTGGGGAAGCATAAAATTCAGGGTGGCTCACTGTGGTGTAAATTCTTTCTGTGACGCTTGAGCTGAAGCCTGAGGTACAGGCTTAAGGGACAGACACGGTGAGCAGCAAGAGTTGGCCCTGAAGATACCATTCTCTGGTTGTTGTTGATACTCTTCGAATCTCTGGGGAGCTTCCGGTGTGATTTGTACTGCACCACCTGATGGTGGTTGTGGTGGTGTAAATAGAAATGGCCCCCATAGACCCACATGTTTGAATGTTTGGCCCACAGGGAGTGGCACTGTTGGGAGGTGTGGCCTTGCTGGAGGAAGTGAGTCACTGTGGGGGCAGGCTTTGAGGTTTCCTGTGCTCAAGCTCTGCCCAGTGTGGCACACAGTCTCCTTCTGCTGTCTTCCAGTCAAGATGTAGAACACCGCAGCTGCCTGAGGCTGCCATGTTTCCCTGCCATGATGGACTAAACCCCTGAAACTGTAAGCCAGCCCCAATTAAATGCTTTCATTTATAAGAGTTGCTGTGGTCAGGTGTCTCTTCACAGCAACAGAACCCTAACTAAGACATTGGTTTTTTATCATAAGAGACCCCCGAGTTTCTGTTGCTGTTAGTAAAAAGTAAAGGATTTGTATGTTCTGAAGAGAAGCCAGGGACTCTTCGGTTGTTATTAGATTACCACTGTCTGGTAAATACAATGTAAATTATCTACGTACTTTTAAATTTTTTTCTAAAGCATATTCCTGGAGAAAAGAACACAGTTTACATTTTAACCAGCATATCAAAATATTTTGCTTCAAAATATAACTAGTGTAAAGATACACTAATAACACTCCTTCTTCCATCTCTTCAAAATCCAACCCAAATTTCCCATTTGACAACACTGGTCTTCTAACTCAGCATATGTCAGCGACTCCGTAGCTACGTGTAGCAACTTCCTACCAGGGGGAGCAGCCCAGGCTCACCTCTCAGACCTACAAGACCTCCCCTACTCGACACTCCTTCCTTGCTTGCATGGACTTCTGAGGAGCCTGGCCCTGCCTCTTCAGTCTCTTTCTGTTTTCTGGTCACCTATCTTCCAAGTCAACTGAGGCAGTTTCCTCCATCCTCATGGAGGAGATGGAGACCTTTCATTTACTCTCACTAGACAGAACAAAGCTCTGTATAGTATAAAGAAGATGCCAAACTGTGCTATACACTAATAACAGTTATCCCTTTGCTGAGAACATTTGGTCGCTGATGGTGGTGTCGCTGATGGTGGTGTCACTACGGAGCTGAGAAGTTCCTGTTGCCTGGTGACATTACAGCCCCACACAGCACATCTCTTATGGTGATGCTGACGAGAATCAACCCATTGTGGTGACGTGTGCACCCGGGTTCACTAGCTTGATAATTTGAAGCAATTAATATTTTTAGCTACAGAGAATGTTCCTCGTTGATAGATTTGCATTGCCCCTCAGTGCGTAACATATACAATTACGTACAGAAGATACTTGATGATGATAAGGCGCAGCTAAGATTACTGGTCCCTATGTTTACTTTTCATTATTAGAATGGACCCTATTGGAAAATAGGTCATTGCAAAACAGCACGCAGGACCCTGGGCAGGAGCCCCCTGTATCCCATTTTCACCATGCCTCAGGGGAGTGTGTCAGGAGGCCACAGAGAACAGTGGGTGTCTGCCTTGTCCTGTCTAGGTTTGTATTAACACACTATGTGACACTCAGACACAATGCACAGAGCATGTGCCTTTTGTCAGTGTAAAAGACCTCGCAGAGGGGAAGTCGGAGCCTCATTTTCTAAAGTTATGTTCTGCTCAAATGTTCCTACAAGGATTTGACACCCAAATTTGCACCTTTGTGTTTT